CCTGCAGGGGCGGTCCCCGCACCAGGCCGGGCCTCAGCACCCCAGCTCCCCTCAGACTCATGCTCTCATTGGCCGTCTCTCCGTTTTGGTCCAGGCTGGCAGCGTTCTGCTGGTATAAAATCCTCAGCAACCTGTTGGCCTCCAAGCAGGTAATGGGCGTCCAAGCTGTCGGAGGTGGACCCTCACGTCTTTCCTGGACAGCCTCTCTCTGTCCTGGCTTCTCTGAGCCTGCCGGCTAGCCCCACCATTACATGCTCATCTCTTTGGCCACACTCATGGCTTTGTCTCCAGAGCACAAAGAAAAATGTCCAGATCAAGTGCTGCCTCCTCTGGCTCACCACTTCCTTCCTCGGTTTTTTCCTGTGTGTTTTACTACCAGCAGCAAGGAGACACCAGGCTGCACCTTGCGCACTTTGCTTGGAAATCTCCTTGGCTAAATATCCAAGGTCGTCACTTGCAAGTTCTGCTCCACACCCAGCAGAACACAGCTCTGTCAAGTCTCTGCCACCTTCTGACGAGGGTCGCCCATCTGCTTTCCACTGACATGTGTTCCTTTCCACAGCCCTCGCCAGGGTGGCCTCTGCTGTCTGTGTTTCTACTGACAGTCTCTTTAGCGCAATCCAGGCTTTTTACAACCTGTGGCCCAGAACTCTCCCAGCCTCCACCCATCACCCAGCTCCACAGCCACTTCCACATTTTTAGGTATCTGTTACAGCAGCACCCCCATCCCAGGACCAAAATCTGAATTGCGTTCCTGTGGCCCCGTTAACAAAGAACCACAAACCAGGTGGCTTAAAATAGCAGCAATGTCTGGTCTCGGTTCTGGAGGCCTCTGGAGTCTGAGGCCACGGTGCCAGCAGGGCTGGGCTCCCTTGAGAGCTGCAGGAGAGAGTCCTTCCTGCCTCTTCCAGTGTCTGGTGGTGCCGGCAGTCCTCGGTGTTTCTTGGCTTGTAGCCACATCACTCCCGTCTCTGCCTCCATCTTCACGCCTTTGTGTGTCTGTCTTCACACCATCTTACTTCTTCTTGGAAGAACACCAATCATATTAGATGAGGGCCCACCGGACTCCAGGGAGGCCTCATCTTAACTAATTACATCTGCAGCAACCCTGATTCCGAGTCAGGTCCGGTTCCGAGGTCCTGGGCGGGTAAGATGTGGATGTCTGTTTTGGAGACAGTTCAACTCATAGCAGCAGCCCTTGCCATTAGGTGCTCACTGTTAGGCCCTCATTGTTAGGTCCTCACCGTTACGTTGTGGTGGTTGAAGGAGTGGGGACCAGAGCCCCACTGTATGCTCATCCTGCTGCTGACTGCCTGCCAGCCTGCTGGGAGTGTGGGGAGCAGGTCAGGGAGCCCTTTCCCCATTTGGGGTCAGGTAGCAGAGCCTCGTCCAGCTGGGCCTAGCCGGACCCGCTGGGCTGCCTGTGCTGACCCTGGCCCTCCCCAGGCCATGCGGACCCTCAGCTGGAAGCACACCCTCGGCCTGGTGACCATGGACGTGGAGCTGGCCGACCGCACCCTGTCTGTGGCGGTGACCCCTGTGCAGGCGGTGGTCTTGCTGTACTTCCAGGACCAAGGTGAGCCCACTGGCCCCCAACTGGCCTGCCCCAGCCACACCTCCTGGGGGCCAGTGCTGGGCACGGCTCTCTGTCTGCCGGGGTGGGGGGACCATGCAGGCAGCAACCCCTTCCTCCCCTTTCCTATGGGGCCTGGCTGGGCCTCCTGGTCCTGCTGACCTCTGGGAAGCTGAGCTGGGCTAACGAGGCAGAGGGAGGCTCGGCCTTGCCCAGTCTGCCAAGAGTGCCTGGCTGACCCCGCACAGCCAGTTGGACCCTGGAGGACCTGAGCAAGGTGGTGAAGATGCCCGTGGCGCTGCTGCGCCGGCGGATGTCGGTGTGGCTGCAGCAGGGCGTGCTGCGGGAGGAGCCTGCTGGCACCTTCTCTGTGGTGGAGGAGGAGCGGCCCCAGGACCGAGACAACATGGTGCTCATCGACAGCGACGAGGAGAGTGACTCGGGCATGGCCTCTCAGGCCGACCAGAAGGAGGAGGAGCTGCTGGTGTGTGAGGTGGGGGGTGGTGGCCTGCTTGTGCCTCTGTGTGGTGGTCGCCTGGAGGGTGGCCTGCCTGACGGCCAGCCTGGACACTGTCCCCCCAGCTCTTCTGGACGTACATCCAGGCCATGCTGACCAACCTGGAGAGCCTCTCGCTGGAGCGCATCTACAGCATGCTGCGCATGTTCGTGGTGACGGGCCCCGCACTGGCCGAGATCGACCTGCAGGAGCTCCAGGGCTTCCTGCAGAAGAAGGTGCGCGACCAGCAGCTCATCTACTCGGCCGGTGTCTACCGCCTGCCCAAGAACTGCAGCTGACCTGCCAGGCCCTTCCCACGCCATCCCTGCCTCATCCCTGCCTCGGCATGTCCTCCCCAGGTCCCCCACCCGCACCCCCCCATGCCCCTGCCCAGCCCCCAGAGTGCAGAGTAAAGCAGATGGTTCTTCACTCTTTCCCTGTCCTGGTGGCTTTATGGGCCCCTCAGGGACACGTGATACAGCTTCTCCCCCCAGACAGGCCTCCACCTCAACCTGGCAGGGCCTGGCTCCCTGGGAGCAGGTGAGGGAAGCTGCACGAGTGGCCAGGCCCAGCCCTGGCCTACACCCCTGCCTTTGGGCTCCAAACCTGAAGGAACCCTGGGATCTGGGTGTCTCTGGACTGCATGGGCTGGGGAAGGGCCTCAAATCTGAAGCCCGAGGCTCAAGCAGCAGTGCACCAGGGGTTGGCTGCCCTTGAGCCACCTCAGGGCCTCCAGCTCCAGCCTCACTCCTCTGGCCTTTGAAAGGAGCCTTCGGGTCATCCTGCCTCTGCCCAGCCTGAGGGTGTGGCCCCCAGGTGCTGAGCCGAGAGCCCCAGGGCTGCTGCTGGGACGTGTGGGCCCCACAAGAGGCAAGTGGTGGCCGAGAATCTGCTGCTAAGCCAAGACTTTGCCACCTCTCCAGCAGGAGGGGCTGCCTGGGACACGCCCTTGTGGCGAGGAGGACCCGGCATTTGTCCATCTGCCCCGCATAGGGTCGGGCTGCTGCAGGCTTCGGGGCTCACGATGAAGTGTGCTTTCAGAAGGCCAGTTACTTCCGTGCTGCGAGACATGTGGCCTCGGTGCTCACATGCTAAGGTGAAGGACCCCGTGAGCCCAGCCTTCCCAGGCGCAGGGGCGTGGGGCTGATGCGTCCAGAGCACTGGGTCCTGTCTAAGGCCCATACTGGGGCCCGCCACTGCCCAGGTCCCAGGAGGCAGGGGAAGGCATTGGTTCTGCCCAGGCCCGAGGCCTTCACAGCTGCCCTGGGCACTACAGCCTCTGTTGCTGAGACCTTCACTGGTCTAGCAGGAACCGCTCTAGTCCGGCGGCGCTGTCCTCACAGGCAACAAAGGCCCTTTGGAACCAGCGCCTCCGCTGTGCTGCTCCTGCCTGCTCGCGGTGCATCCCAGGCCCCGCACAGCTTCCGGGTCCCCACCAGGCTGCCTCCCAGCCCAGCGCTCACCCTACCTCTCTGCTTTGGCCTGTTCCACGTGGGGTCCTGACGGCAGTCCCACTTCCAGGACTTGCCCCTCTCACTCTAGAGAGTTCTGTTTGCACGGGGTTTGAAGGGGGAAATGGTAGGAGTGAGGCCCCTAGCCTTAGCAATTTGAGGAGTCTGATGAGCCAACAGCCCCCTCCCTTGGGCTCTGCGCACCAGTCCGCTCCAGTGCTGGCTGTGCTATGGGCATAAGAGGGCTTCCCGCCCTCCTCTGAGTGCTGCTGGAGGCCCCGCCTGGCACTGGGCTGGGTGCACCTTCGTCATCCTAACCAGGATGCAAACCGGCTGGACTGGCCTAGCAGGGTGGCAGCACCAGCCCCCGGGCACTGGCACACCTGTTCCTTGTCCCTTTGGACTCAAGTTTGTGGACAAGTGTAGTAAAGTCCAGCGTGTCTTGGGTCACAGTATCACTCATGAGGCACAGAAGTGTGCCACAAGCTGCTGGCTGTTCCCCGAGGGCCCCACCAAGAGGAGGGCACCTGTGCCAGGGGTCACAGAGGTCCATGGTGGCCAGGGGCCAGCTGGGGCAGAGCTGTGCCCTTCTCCCTGGCACCCAGCGGGGTCATTGTGGGACGGGGCATTTCCTCCTGCTTGTGGTTGGCTTGGCAGGGCCTCAGGGGAGGGGGAAGGGCCAGTGCAGGAAGTGGGGGAGGAGGATGAGGTTAACCCTGACCACACCAGCCTGCAGGCAAGTCCCTTGGGCAGTGCTTGCCTAGTTTGCAGGAAGCTGCACAGGGAACAGACCCTTGGAGGGCCGGGCAGGTGGGCCCTGAGGTGGCAGTGGGCTCTAACTTGAATGCCACGTTTAAGCCAAGCCTTGGATGCTGCCTGCAGTCATTTCTGAGCCACCTGCTCCTAGAGGAGGTTGTTCTGGGAAGGCTGTGGCCTGTGGGTAGCGCCCCCCACCCCCGTCCTGGGTGATTGGGGATCCCTGAGGGGCCCTCCAGACCTGGGCATTGCTGGGGTGTGGGCAGGACCCTCCTCAAAACAGCCAGTGTGAGGGCAGCAGGCACAGGCCCACCCCAGCCTCCTCAGCCCCTGCTTGTCCCTGTCTTGGGGGGAGGGTGGTGACATCGGTCAGCCCCCCCCGCCCCCCACCCCCCGCCAAGCTGCTGCACCTCTTACCCTGAGGCCAAAACTGAGGCCTGGGGCTGCCCGCTGTGGACCTCCAGGTCACTCGGCCACTATCTTCACCTCCTCAGGGGCCCAAGTGTGAGCCCCACCCCTTCCCTGTGAAGCGCCACCCCAAGGCCGGGGCAGCCCCACCATTTTCTCTGCCTCAGATCTGGCCAGTGCACTAGGAGTGGCTCCTGTCCACCGTACCTGACCCCGCTCCCCCCAGGGCTGCCTGCTCAGAGCTCCTCAAATCCAGGTGCCCAGGGGCGAGTGAAGCTCTAGCTGGGGCCCTGCCCCCACCCTCCCTGCCTCACAGCCCAACTGTGACGTCAGCGCCTTCCGACGAGTTCCGTCCAGAGGTTTGCGGTGGGGCCGGGGGCTGGACATGGCCCCCCGTCCCCAGCCTGACTCCTGCCTCGTCGGCAGCCCCCTCGGCCTGATATGTGTGTCCCTTTTGCTCATCCCAGCTGCAGGTGCCGCCTCCTGCCCCCATGCCCTGCCCCAGCCAGGCCCTCCCTGGTCCAGTTAGGCCAGGCGCCTATGTCCTGGTGGCCACACGGTGGGTGGCACCCCAGGGTCTTCCACCGTGGGTGACGATGGCCCTGTCTCTGCAGCTGGAACCTACTGCGAGTGCAGCCTTGGCCTCAGCCGCGAGGCCCTGATCGCCCTGCTCGTGGTGCTGGCGGGTGTCAGTGCCAGCTGCTTCTGTGCTCTCGTCATCGTGGCGGTTGGCGTCCTGCGAGCCAAGGGGTTCGTGAGCCCCAGGACTGGGGTGGGTGGGTGAGGGCCATGATGCCCACCCTGGGCCCTCGGTCTTGCCAGGAGAGGGGCTTGGGAATGGCATTTCCCAGGCTGTGGGGTTGGTGGGGGACGGAGGGCACTTTGGGGGTCCTAGAGGCCAGCCCCATTGTTCCAGGATTCACATCTACCTTTGTCCTCCCCAGTGAAACATGTCCTGGACACATGGACAGCAGGTGAGTGACCCTAGGGGAGGCCCGCCAAGGGTGAGCTGTGTCCCTGCTCCCTGCCCCGGGACGTGCGGTTCACAGACACATCAGGGGCACTGACCCCAGGGCTGGGTGTGCCCTGGGCGGTCAAGGCCTCGTGAGCCGGTGCTGACCACCACCCGCAGCTGGCCTGACCCAGCCCGTGGCGTGCAGGTTGGTGGGGCACTTCGGGGTGCAGGAAGATCACATGGACTTGCACACGGTGCATGTGGAGTCCCACCTTGTGGAGCCTGACCTGGAGGTCTCCATGATGCCGTCCCTGGAGGATCACGGCCTCATGACCATCCCCATGGACTCGACGGCTCCATGTGTGACTCTGGAGGAGCCGCCCTGCCCACCCCCACCACTTGAGTAGGGCTGCACAGCGAGGGGGAAGGGGAATTAAACAGTATTTAGTAGTTCTGTGCTGTCGTCCCTGCCGGCTCCTCCTAGAGCCCCACCCCACTGGGCAGCTGTGTCATGGGGTGGGGAGGGGTCTGAGCGCACCTGGGTCATTTCTTTTATCTTCGATGGGGGTGCCCCGTTTCCACACCAGGCACCCACTGTCCACCTTCCAGGGCAGGGAGCCACACCCTTGGTGTTTCCACTTCCTCCTGCCATGGTCTCAGACCAGCTCCTCCCTGCATCTTCCTGCTGCTTTGTCCCAAGAAGCTGGCAGGGCTCTTGGGCCCCTGCCTCCCCCCACCCCCCTAAACCCCCAGGACAGGACCTACAACTCTGGCGACTCCAGAGGGAGCAGCATTTGACAGGACTTGGGCTGGTGCCCTGCCCCACCCACAAAGTCTCCTTGAGGTTCCAGGAGAGTCCTTAGAGGGCAGGGTGGGGCAGACCTGACCAGGGTCCCCCGCGCCAGGTGTGCAGTTCCTCCTCCACCCCACAACCTGCCTCTGGGCTCAGCCCCATTATGTGCTCGTGCCCCACCAATCATCCGCCATCAGGATGGGACCGTCCCTATGTGGGGGGCCACTGTGTGTGTGCACTAGGGTCACTCTGCTGAGCCAGAGGCGGCGGTGAGGAGCAAGGTGCACTGGGTCCCATTCCGTGTGTGGCATCCATGAGTTCGGTGGGTACAGGGGTGGGTGTGGCGGGGTATCCAGCTGCTCAGGCCTCAGTGGAGCGAGGGGTGGTGGACGAAGCAGGGGAGGAGGGGGGGCGTCTCCTCAGCGCCGCTGCTGGCGCAGAGCCAAGAGGAGCCCAGAGCTCTGGGACAGATGGGTGGCCGTGCCGGGCGCTGGCTATGTGCCCAGCCCCCGCCCTAGGCGCGGGACCAGCCATGGGACAGGAACTGCCGGCCCTCGAGCCGGAGAATTAATATCTGTGAGGGTGCCGCAGGGACGGACCGGCTCCGGGGACGGACGGGCTCCGGAGACGCACGTACAGCAGGCCTCCCACCGCGGGTCCCACCGCTGCCCCCATGCGGAGTCCCTCTTTTCTCTTGCAGCGGCGGCCGCCGCTGTTGCTGCTGCTGCTGTCGCCGTGGCCAGTCTGGGCCCAGGCGCCCACTGCGGCCGCCCCCTCAGGGACCCCGGGTGCCCGGGACTGCCCCGAGGCGTGCGCGTGCGCATCGGGCGGTCAGGCCAACTGCTCGGGGCGCGAGCTGCCTGCCGTGCCTGCGGGCCTGAGCCGGAGCGTGCGCACGCTGCTGCTGGACCACAACCGTGTGCGCGCGCTGCCGCCCGGCGCCTTCGTGGGCGCTGGCGCGCTGCTGCACCTGGACCTGCGCGGCAATGGGCTGCACTGGGTGCACCCGCGGGCCTTCTGGGGTCTGAGCGCTCTGGAGCAGCTCGACCTCAGCGCCAACCAGCTGGAGGCGCTAGCGCCCGGCACCTTCGCGCCGCTGCGCGCGCTGCGCAACCTCTCGATGGCCGGCAACCGGCTAGCGCGCCTGGAGCCTGCGGCGCTGGGCGCGCTCCCGCTGCTGCACGAGCTCAGTCTGCAGGACAACGAGCTGTCTGCGCTCGCGCCCGGCGTTCTGGCCGGCCTGCCCGCTCTCAATGCGCTGCGCCTCCGCGGCAACCCCTGGGCTTGCAGCTGCGCGCTGCGCCCGCTCTGCATGTGGCTGCGCAGGCACCCACAGCCCGCGCCAGGTGAGCCCTGGGGTCGCGGGCGGGCGGGGGCGGCCACTGACGCCGCCGCCGCCGCCTCCTGACGCCACCCCGTGTCCCGCAGAGACCGAGACGCTGCTCTGTGTGTCGCCGGTGAGCCTGACGCTCAGGCCCTTGACCGCCTTCCCCGATGCCGCCTTCCGCCACTGCGCACAGTCACTCGCCCCGCGGGACCTGGCCGTGGTCTACGCACTAGGGCCCTTGTCCTTCCTCGCCAGCCTGGCCGCCTGCCTGGCGCTGGGCTCCGTGCTCACCGCCTGCCGCCGCCGCCGCGCCGCCGCCGCCCGCCGCCCGCCGAGGAGACCGCCGGATCCCGGCCCCTGCTCGGCCTCGCCCGAGGACCCTGGGAGCCCCGCTGCCGCCGCCCAAGCCTGAGGCTGCCCTCGAATCTTCCCTCTACTCCCTGCCCTCCTTCACACCCCTGCAGGCGTCAACAAGTAACACAGACCGAACTTCTCGTGACATTCCTTTAGGCATCACCACTGCACACACCGGGTCGTGGGGCGGTGCGCGCCGGGCCCTGGGACGGAGGGGCAGCGCGCGGCTGCGCATGGGCCGCAGGGGAAGGCACGCGCTCGGACACGGGAAGGGCTGGACCTGTACAAGGTGGTGGGCAGGGCTGAGGACAGTCCTGAGCCAGCGTCTGGAAGCCCATCCTGGGCTGCAGGCTGGAGGAGGCAAAGACAAGGCTCGGCCCTCTGGAGTCCGGAGGAGAAGGTCGGGCGGAGGCAGCGGGAGCCGGAGCGCGCCCCTGGGAGGCGGCTGCCAGCGGGGGGTCGGGGTCTGCCATCGGGGAAGGGCAGGGCCAGCTCGGAGGATGGGGTAAAGTGGAGGCGGGGCGAGGGTAAGAAGAGGGTAAGAGGTGGAGCCGAGGCTGCCAGGAGCAGGCGCTGGAGGAGGGGTGACCCAGCCAGCTGGGGTTGCGGCCCCCAGGCGGCTCTGGTGGTGGCTGGGGAAGGATGGGGCTTCAGTCTGTGCTCCAAGCCCCTCCGTTGGGGGCCAGGTTGGCCCCTCTCCCCACTGCTCAGAGACCCCAGGGCCCTGCCTCTGCCGGAGTGCCCTGTGGCCCTGCCCAGCCAGCTCAGCTCTGGCCCGTCCTCAGCCGCTCTGGTCCGTGCCTCGGTCCAGCAGGGGCTGCCCGCCAGGCAGCAGGGCGGGCGGACGGACGGACGGGAGGCCCAGGGTGGGCAGTCTCGGGCAGGTGGGCTTCCCTCAGGCCTTCCCGAGCAGCAGGACCCATCAGTGTCCTTGGCCGGGCTAACTGGGCAGGTGGGCGCCTCCGGGGGCCTCACACCACGGTGCTGACCGAGGGATCTGAGAGGTTGAGCGGGCCCGTGATATCAGTGGGATGGTACTGCTGCAAAATAGAAATACACAGACAAGGCAGCCCGTTAGCCCAACGCTCGGGGGCGTGCGCGGGTCCGGGACGGGTGGACCGGCCAGCCGGCCAACTGGCGGGCAGGCGGGCGTGGCCTCGGGGAGGCTGGGGGGCGCTCCTCCCCCTGACCCCGTCGTGCTCCGGGACTCTGCGTGGGCCGGGCCGCTGTCCCGTCCGTCTGTCTGTCTGTCTGCGGGGGAGGGGGGCAGAGGAGGGCGGGCAGGGCGTCTCAGCTCTCCCTATGACGGGCACACATCTGCAGCTGGCCCTCCTCCCTCTCAATAGCGCGTCGCGGCAGCACTGTGTCTTTTTGGTTTTGCAAAGCGCCGCGTCCACCCCCGGTGCTCTATAAATAAGAACCAACAATCAATACCCGCTGGCCCCGCGGCCGCCAGGGACCCCAGCCCTGAGTGCCCAGTGCCGCCCTGGCCCGGACCAGCCACAGGACAGGGGCAGAGGATCTCAGCGGCCGGACCGACCCACCCCTCCCGAGAGCCCCCCACCCAGGCCTCCCCCCAAGCAGGCGCTCAGCCTGAAACAGAGTGGGAGCTGGGCTGCCCTCCCCCGCCCAGCCCCCCCAGCTGGCAGTCCCCCGAGTCGTCCCTGCAGGGTAAGGCCAGCCCCAGATACCACATGGCACCAGGGCTGGCCTGGGATGGTCCCTGGTGCCCAGGGAGGCTCGGGCGAGGAGTCTGCTGGGAGCACGTCTCCGGAAAGGCCCTGTGAGGGTCTCCGAGCTGCACCTGGACCAGCTAAGGGGCATGTGTGTGTCTGCTCCGGGTGGTGGTGGTGGTGGGGGCGGGACTCAGTGACAGCCTCAGAGAGTGGCCCATCACCTGTGTGACTTGTGCTCCTCCTCAGCTCTGCCGAGATACCCTCTCCCCTGGCCTGCCCCACCCCCGCTCCTCTCTGGTCCTGTGTTCTCGCTCTCCTCTTCCCACACCCCTGGTGGGGCCCCTGGCTCAGGCACTGCCCACTTTTCCAGGACTGGGCAGCCCCAGGCCTGTGCTCCCAGGCCCGTGGACACTCACTCTCCACCCACCCTCCCTGTGCCAAGCCCCTCTTGGGAGGCAGAGCAGCCAGGACTCATGGGCCTCTCTGGGGGTATCCTGGTGGCTTCACCCTGGACTCAGATCGCTCTGTGCCAAGCCCTGTCTGAGTCCTGGAGGTCTGCCCCTCTTCCCATGCCCTGGGGAGGAGAGGGGGGCTGCAAATCCCACTTCCACCTTGGAGCATAAGCCCCTGAGGGGTGATGCAGCTTCCTGGGGGCTGGAGGCCAAACCTGCCCCTGAACTGCAGTGAGGTTGCTGGGGCGAGGGCTGTGCTGGCTCTGGGTGGCCTCCTCCCCACTTGGGACCAGCAAAGCTGGATCCGTTTTGGGGGCCTTTGGTCCAAGTGTGCACACCTGGTGCAGTGACAAGCTGCCCAAGGCAGGAGGGCCAGGAATTCTGGGCTCAGGTGGAAGGCCTAGCTCTGACTGGCCCTGTGGGGTGGGGCTGGGGTCAGGAGCTGAGGTTCTGGTCTCCTCTGTGGAGGCCTCCCCTTCCTGAGCCTCTGTCTGGGAGCCTCCATTCCCCCAGCTGAGTAGGCCATGCTTGGCCTGGGGTGGGGGCCGCCCACTATGGTCCCACCCATTTCCCCACCTGATGGTCCCATGTGGCTGGGGGCCTGTTCCAACTCCAGGCCCCAGCCGTCCACCCAGATGGAGCCAGGCCCGGCCCCCAGCCCCGGCCCACACAGAGACCACATGGAAGGGACGCAACAAGCATGGCTCTGGTGAGACACAGGAGACAGGTGTCTGAGTGGCGGGGCTGGCAGCCAGACAGATGGGCGGAGGGGACATCACAGCCACCCCTTCATGGACGTCGCAGGGAGGGAGAGAGGGTGGCGGGCCCCTCCAGGAGAAGCCGGAGAAACGGACGTAACAAAGAGGTGGTGTGGCCTCCCAACGGGTGAGGAGCCGGGGCAGGGCGGCTCTGGGCTCCCAGGGACCCCGGGCACGACCCTGAGGTGGTGAGGCTGACTGGCCGACCAACGACATGACACAGCTTCAAGATGGCGCATGGCGTCATGGCATGGGGGGGCAGACTAACGCAGAGACACATGGGGAAAGAGGATCCAGCAAGGGCCAGTGGGAGAAAGGACCGAGAGAGAGAGGTCTAGAGAGTCGGAGAGAGAAGACCTAGTGTGCTGGGCAAATAGAGATGAAAGGCCACAGCGGTCAGAGGTGGGGGTGGGATGACGGGGAGAGGGAGAGGGCACGCCTGACGCACGGGACACAGACATGGAGGGCAGGCGAGAGAAGAGTCGGAGACGTGGGACTGGGCGTTCTTCCCCTTACCGTGTCTTTGGAGGACCTACGTCTCTTGAAGCTGGAAGCCAGGGTGGAGGTGATAGCCCTAAATGTGGCTTTCTTTTTAGGGTCGGGCTCTGCTCTACCACTCTTTCTATCCTAAAATGAATATGTATAAGTGATTAGACGGCTAAGGGTGGCGGCCACACCTGCCCTCGCCTGCTTCTCGGGGGCCGCTGCCCGGCCTGGCCGGCCACTCGGGCCCTCGCTCCTGCCTGCCTTCCTGTGCTGGACAGATGGACAGACAGCACGACATGCACAGGCGGCCTCTGCTCCTGCCCGGGTCTCTGGCCTGACCTTGCTCGTGCTAGGGCTGGGCTTGGGGGGGGTCCCGTCTGGCTCTCTTCCTGAGAGGTCCGCCTGGATCCCTGGCGGCCCTGGTTTACAGGTGTCCCAAGGAGGAGGGGCCCTCCGAGCACTGAAGGGGTTGCCTCGTGGGCCCTGCCAGCCATTCTGACCCCCAAGGGGTACACCAAGATTCAGGAAGGGGCTGAGGGGCTGAAGGTAGGTGCCAAGATGAATTGGAGCCATAGATAGATGGAGGCAGCTCCCAGGACCTTGGCTTTGGGTCTGATGGTCAGGATGGCCCTGTGCCCACCAGTGAGAGCAGCGACCAGGTCCCAAGAGCAAGAGTGGGCAGATGAGAGGTGTGGGGGCTCCAGCAACCCCGTCCCCCCGTGGCCCTCCCTCTCTGCCATGCCAGCTTCATCCCAGGACACAGGCTCTGGGGAGGTACCCAGAGAAAGAGAAGAGATGGAGCAAACCAGAACTGGACCGTGGGGCATGAGCCTGCGGGCCTGCACAGGTGGGCTGTGGCTGCCCCACATGCAGCCTGTCTCCCGCTGGCGGCAAATTCCCACAGACACAGCCTGGGGCGCCAGGCGGGGCGGGCTGGCGGATTCAGACTGGAGTTATGCAGCACAGAACACAGCAGGACAGCAGGGAGGGGCTCCCCGGAGGGTGCCAAGGAGGGGTGTGGGGCGGCGAGGGCAGAATGCATCTCAGACTCACGTGCTGCACCCAGGTGGGTCCCTGTCTTACCCTGCCTCAGTTTGCCTTCCTATGGAATGGGCACCGGTGGGCGACTCTGGAGACAGAGGGGCCAGGCAGAGGCTTGGAGCAGGGCGTGTGGCCTCCCTCGGCCGGCTTTGCAGTGGGCAGTCACCTGCAGGTGGCCCTACACCAGCGCTGCCCCTGGCTGTGGCTCCTAGCTCCAGTCCGGCCCACGTGGGCTCCCGGGAGTCAGAGCCAGCGCTTCGGCCTGCAGGGATGGAGGAGGGCCGGGGCCAGGCCGGGCCATGGGCACCAGGCCTCGGAGGGTGGCCTGCCCTACCTGCAGGTTCTTTCGCCACACGTTCACTGCTGCGAAGGCCAGCTGCATCTGCTTCCGGCGAGCATCCTTGTGCCGCTTGTAGGCGATCTCGATGAAGATCAGGAAGATCCCCGCCACGATGCCCCCCGCCACCAACATGAAGACCCCTGTGGGCCAGGACCCAGTGCCTCAGCTGTTGGCTGGCCAGGCACGTGACCCTGGAGAACCCACCCAGTGTTGGCAGGGGTTGAGGGGATGGGGGACCCACCTGCCATGTTTTCGAAGGTGAGGGTAGCAGGGGCGTTGCTGCGCGAGTCACACTCCTGGTACCGCACCCACGTCTTGTCCAGGTCTTCCATGAAGCCGTTCTCATGGGACCTGGGCGGGCGGGGCGGTGAGCCGGGG